TTTTTATTTACATTTTATTAAATGTTCTTTAATTTATTTGTATAGTTATTTAAATATATTAATTCAAATCTTAATCCTAAAATATTAAAATTTTTTCATAGTTATAAATAATTAAAATTTAAATTTTTAATTTTAAAGACTGACATCAATCAGTTTATGGTTTAAATTGTTATATATATAATTCATAAAGAGATGCTTTCTGATAACAATAATATTTAATAAAATTTAAAAAATAATTCTAAAAGATAATCAAATTTAAAATAATCTTATTAAAATTTTGCTTTTGATGACTTTTGGTGTATTTTATATTTTCTTATATAAAAATAAAACAAATTAATAAAAATTTATTTATACTTTTTATTTATTTATATATATATTAAGAAATTAGATATTTTTATCACTTGTTTTTATAGCATATTTTATTATTTATAAAAAATAAAATAGCAAATTTATTTAAAAAAATTTACTTGTAAAAATTACAAAAATAACAAAAAATTGTATTCTATTAAAGTAAAAATTAGTAATGAATAAATTATATTATAGTAAATATTACTATATTTTTTATATCAAAAGTACATAAATAGAAATCTTACTCTTCATTAAATATGTTAGTGCAAATGAAATTGTAATTATTAAATTATTTGTACTTTTGTGAAGTAAAAAAATCAATAATAATAATTAAAAATAAAAATATAATACTTACACTGCGCATTCCATTATGTGACAATCCTTCTATTTCTTCATCTACTCCAACTCTGAAAAAAATAATTTGTTTCAATAAAATAAAAAAGTTTATGATTATAATAAAAATCTTTTATACTTACGGTATATTAAACCAGCTCAAAAATTGGGTTGTTGCACCACCTTGAAAAATAACTGTTAGAATTACAATTAAACTCGTTGTTGTTAACATTGCTTGTCGAGCATCAGATACAGTATTTCTAATCGCTAAAGCGAAACTCATAGCTCCGCGTAAACCAGCAAAAAATAACATATGTTGATAATTTAACGATATTTTTGGTTTTCGTGCCAAATTTAATATAAAAGATAATGGATATACATTAGCTGCACGACCTAATAATGCACATAACTATAATAAAATAATTAAGGATTATAAAGGGTATTATGAAATATTATTTTAAAATGAATATTTATAAAATAAGGATACGAATCCTGCAAAAATAAATCCTGGATCAAAATGATGTTTCGGAAAAGTGAACATTGAAACACCAATATAACTAAATATAAAGTTTTCTGCTAAAAAATTTAAAAGTTCAAATAGTTGTTTTGTCCGTTGACGCGAATCTGGACTTAAATTATTATATGTGTAATGTGCTTGACAAATACCACAAAATAAGACTGCAACTACACCTGTATACAAATAATTACATGTAAAAATATTTTATTGAAGATGATAAATTTAATGCACATAAAATTATAAAATATTACCTGTAAGATCAGATGCTTCAGCAATTAAGAAAGTACTATAAGACATTAAAACAAATAATGCTGATTCCAAAAGAGGAAAATCTCGGACTCTAGTAAATTTAGTTAACAAAGCAGTAATACAACCCATGGTAGCACCAATAAATAAAGATAAACTAAATATTCCAACAAAATCACCAAATGCTTGGAAAAATGCTACAGTTTCAAATCCACCTGAACCTGATTGATAACGTTCTCCATAATTTTGTATGGAACTGAAATACATAATTTATATATATAATTTATATGTATATATATTATTTATATTTTTATTTATATATATAATTTATATTTGATCAAAACTTTTTGATATTAATATTCTTATATACATACCCACTAAGTACAATTGCAACTGCATCATTTAACACACTTTCTCCAAATACTAAAGCATATAAATTTACATCTACATGTAAATCATTAAAAATAGAAATTATTGTCAATGGATCTGTGGGAGATATTAATGCACCAAAATATAAAGTATCCAAAAATGTAAATGAAGCAGAGAGATGTGGTATTAATTGTACAAAAGCATACATCAAAGCTCTGAAAAAAAAATATAAACATAAGAAATATATGATTAAAAAAATATAGCATTATATTAAAAAGAATTTTTTTCTTTATCTATAGTCAATGAACAAAACAACAGATATATTCAATCTAAATGACCTATGAACGCAAAATTAATCATAAGAAATGTTCCATATAAAAACTTCAAAAGATAAATAAACTTGTATTATGGCAAGAAAATATATATCTATTTATTAATAATGTATACATATATTTTTCATTATAAATGAAAAACATACCCAATAACAAAAGCTGATATAGATGTTCCAATTAAAGCATACATAAGAATTGCTCCTAAATTTCTAAAGAAATATTTCTGAAATAAAATATAAAATTAATAATATTAAATAATAGTGATAAATATAAATATAAATATAAATAATTGAACATTTGCTACTTACACGTTTCAAACTATACCCAGCATGAAAAATGATTGGTGGCAAAATAATGTTAAAAAATATTTCAGAATCAAAGGTGGCCTATTAAAATTTTATATTTTTATTTAATTATTTCTTTCTAGTGTTCAATTTAATTATAATTTAATAAAATATATAATTAAATACAATATTTATTTTTTTAATAATTCTAATATATTATTAAAAATTAAATTATAAATAATTGAATTAAATAATACCTTCAAATCTATTTCATTATCTTGTTTATAAATCTCTCCTCTGAATAAATAGGCAAATGTTTTATTTTTAATAATATTACCACCTCCTTTATCTTCCGGAAAACGTAACCATAATGTATCAGGAGGAACTGATTGATTATATTTACTGCTGTTGTCTGGTACAACAGGCATGTGAAGAATAGTACTACTTGTTGTAAATCCATAACGTATTATTGCTCCTATAATTAATCCTAAAAAGATATACATATATATATATATATCATAACAAATACATATGTACATATAATAATAAATTTATAATAAATTAATATTATTTTAAAATGTTTAATATATATAACTTTCATGAAATTATTATAATTTAAACTTTATTATTGAAAATTAATAATCAATACTTCAAATGATGAAAAATTATTCTTTTTTTAAACTATTAAATCTTAGTTCTTACTTATATATAAAGATTATATATCAATTTTATGATAATATCTTTGTTGACAAAAAAAATCGAATAAATATTAATATAAAAAATTGATAAAATAAATATTTAACAATTATTATTATCATTTATTCTTTTTAATAATTTTTAATAATCAATTTAGAATTATTTATTATGAAATTAGAATATTAAAAATTAGAATATTATGAAATGTATTTAATTATAATTAATTTAAATTAATTAATTAATTAATTAATTAATTAATAATTAATTAAAATTAAATATATATTTCTGATGTATAAGTATAAATAAATCAATTTATTTAAAAATATTTTTATTATATTATATTAATTATATTGTATTTATACTTATTATTTATATTAGTATATTATATATTTGTATTTATATTTATTATATTATTATAATATGTATAAAAAAATAAAATATTTAATATTATTTTAACTATATATTATATATAATTTATATATATCTATATACAAAGAATAGAATATAAGAATATAAATCTGAAATAAAAAAGTATTTACTATATATATTTATACATAATAAAAAAAATGCTTTAAAAAAATTTTAAATAAATTTAAATAAAAATTAAAATTAAAATTTGCATAATTTGCATTATAATTATAATTGTAAACAGTAGTTATAGCAGACGACTTACCATAAATGACAGCTAGACCAGTTTCATGGAGGAACCTTAGGCGACGATGTTTAAATGTCCATATTGTTAAAACAGTTAATATCAATAAAAATGTATATAATAAAAGATTTAAACTATCAAGTCTATGCAATAGCTGTGCTTTTGCATCTAATTCAATATCTGTCGCGGCTCCATTACACGATTTTAATAAGAAAATACACAAAATAATGAAGAGGACAATTTGTGCATCACCCCTTACTGCCATCTTTACTTTACAACCATTTCTTAAGCAGACTGTCAATTTAACAGTACAGCCAACTGTATATTATTAACTGTATATTATTGATATAAAATCTATTTAATATACTTATAAATATAGTAGAATATTGTAAAATTTGGTAACACTGTCAAATTTATTCGAAGCGGGAATTCTATTTCAATATTAAAATAAATGAGAAATCTTAACACTTTTCTAAAGAAAGTATAAGTATACATAAATATATATAATCACATTATCTATATAAATATAAAAAATACATATGTGATTATGCGTTAAATAATAAAAATTTTATTTTTTATTTTATGTTTAATTCGCCATGACAACATATATAATTAAAAGTAAATATTGATAACATAAAATTGAAAAACAATATAAATTTCATGCTAGTTATTTTTAGTAATTTGATTAATTACATCGAAGTGAGAATTTTGACATTGTTAGTCCGAATTTATTTTCATCATGGCCTCAGGTAGGCTATATATAAAGCTTTCAAGAACATAAATCAATGCTTTCATAAAATATTTCATAATATTTAAAATAAATTTACTGATATATGAAGATATTATTTTTTTAATAATTTTCTAACAAATAAGATTATATTAAATAGATATGAGATATATATATATATATATATATATATATATTATATATATATAATAATATACTTAATAATTATTTTATAAATTAAAATTCATTACAAATCTAATAATCTACATGTTTTATATTGATAAATATTATCACATTTGATATTATTAAATATTTTGATATAATTTAAATATATTTAATATATTATATTTAAATATATTAAAGTACATTTATTGTCAATAAGAAATCTAAGAAATGACATAAATATGTAAAGTTTATATACATAATATTAGATTAAATAAAGATATAATTAATAAATTAAAATACATGTTAATTTATTAAATAGTCATTAAAATTGTGATAATTTGTAAATGAAATAATAATGGCATTATCTATATGTGGGATATTATCAAAGTATGTCGAAGAGTAGTGACAAGATACCCAATAATCGTTCAAGCAACACAAGCAGGTAAAAATCCTGCATTTCTAAAATATTAAAAATTATTTTATCATTGAACATATTAATTATTCATGGTATCAAATTAACAGGTATATTAATGGCATTGGGAGATCAAATTGCACAAAATTTTATTGAACGAAAAAAATTTAAGGAATTAGATTTTCTAAGAACAGCTCAATTTGGAAGTATAGGATTTTTTATTACTGTAAGTCAATTTGATTCAAAAATGCTAAAAGTACTTAAAATTTAATTATAACATTTATAATATTAATTTATTAATATATTTACTTAATAATATATTTTTTTATTAAAATTTAATAATAATTCAATAATTAAATTATGATTAAATTCTTTATAGTGTAATTAAATAAATAATAAATTAATTAATTATTTAAATTATATAAAAAATAAATAAATTGTATAAAAAATTATATAACATTTTATAAAATAAATTTCATTTAATGAATATAACAGGGACCTGTAACAAGAACCTGGTATGGAATATTAGATAAATATATTGGCTCAAAGACTGGAATTGCAGTATTAAAGAAAGTAGCTTGTGATCAATTAATTTTTGCACCTGCAGGTTTAGGAATTGTGTTAACAACTGTTGGTCTTTTACAAGGAAAAGATTTTGAACAAATAAAAACGAAATTATCTAATGAATATCTAGATATTTTACTTAATAATTATAAAGTAATATAATAACTTTACAATAAATTCTAAAATTATATATAAAATGTTAATATATTTATGTGACATTTTTGAAGAGTCAATATTAAAAGCCAGAACAAATAAAAAATTAATATATAAAAATATCAATTTAAATTTAATAAATAAATTAATAAATAACTTATAAGCAATTTATATTTACATTTAAATGAAGTAAAATGAAGATAAAAAGAAATAGCTTTTTCTATCAGTCTGCACTTTCATTCTGTTTCTATCTCACTTCATTTAATGTAAACTTAAATGCTTGTAACTTAACACTTTAATTATATCAATATTACATCAATGCAATATTTATTTTGAAAATATTAAATTCAATTCCAGATTAATATTTTAAATTTTTAAATTTTTTATAAAAATTAATTGCATATAATTTTTTTTATTATAATGTTTTTTAAAAATAAATATATTTTCATTAATGATTAATAATAAGATTTTTAATAATTTTTATATTGTTTATAAAATAGATTTATATTAGGCAATTTAGAAATCAAATTGCTCAATTCCAGTTATTTATTTTATTCAATTAAGTTTTATCCAATTTAGTTATATGAAAGATGTTCCACGAATATATTAACACCCTGTACATTTAATAAATTCTGTAAAAAATGTATAATTTTTTTTTTCAGATTTGGCCTATAATACAACTAATTAACTTTTATTTTATACCTTTACAATATCAAGTTCTATTAGTACAATCGGTAGCTATTTTATGGAATACTTATGTATCATATAAAACATTTACTTTAGGAGAACAACAAAAAAGGCAAATAGATGTATATATAAAATAAGTAAAAATTTATAAACATATATTTTTTTTAAATACAGATGTTAACACTATTAAATTTAAATATTGTTCACAATAACATAATAAAAAGTTAAACTTTTGAATAATATATTTATAATATTAATCATTAAAAATAAACAATATAGTATTTTATCATAAAACAACAATAGCATTGTAAATAATCACAAAAGCATTTTGTTATAAGTTATTAAAAAATGTGTTTATAATTACAATAAAGTATTTGATCTCAAGATAACTATATATATACATATATATAGTTTGTATATTTTCTGAATTAATATATATTTTTAGTAATTATTATTTATATTTAATCATATAAACGTCATAATTTATATTTATATCATAATAATTTCTTCTATAAAAAAACTGGTATTTTTTACAAATGTATATATTTTTTTATGTATTAGAAATAACATTATTTTATGGAATGTTATTGTTTTTAATAACCATTAAATCACTATATGTAAATATATATTATTTTAAGTACGTACAAGAACATTTGAAATAGTAAAATAAATGAAAATTAAATTTAAAATAAAATTGTAGTCTATTTAAGTCATCATATATCTATTTTATATATATGTGTATGTATGTATACACATATATATACATATTTAAGCATATTTAAACCATTACCATTAACAACAATAATTCACATTGGAACTTTTTCTGCTTTTGCAACTGCTGCAGGTATGGTTTCATTAGTTTTAGATGATATACACGTCCCGAGTAATTCTGGACACGATATTTCATTAGATACTATTTTTTGTATTTTTTTTAATAAATCATAGTTGATACGTTGTGTTATTATGGAATCGTATCTATATTAATACAATATAAGATTAGAAATACAATACAAATTTCTATATTTAGAAATACAAAAATACATACTTATATTCTGGATGTGAAAGAACTTCCTTTCTTAACCATGCAGCAGTTGTTAATAACTCTCCAGAAGATCTCTTTTGTATTAATTTCATATATGCTTGTACAGTACAATGCGTGTCAGCATCTACATCCATACTGGCTAAATATGAATTTACTAAAGGTATTAAACCCGGAAAAACACCATCCTGTTATAAAAAAATATTATAGAGCATTTTTAATATTAACTTTTGTTAATATTATTTGAAAAAAATGAAAAAATTAATGAAAAAAATGAAAAAATTAATGAAAAAAATATTAATATTAACCTTTCCATTGATAATTTCATTAATAGTAAATTCTGTATATTCTGTTTGTCCATCATCTTGTTTTTTTATATCTGATGTAATATCTCGTCGAAACCAAAATTTTTCTGCTGTAACAGCATTTCTCTTTTGTGCTCGAGCCATATTTTTATCAACTTTACTAATTGGTATGAGCAAATTCAATTTATAACTTAAAATAACTCTTGTAAGAAGAACAATAAAACAAACTATTGCAGCATTTTCAAAATCTGTAATTTGAACTTCGCATGGACGAAATTCAACACGCCATCCTATAGATGAATTTGGTGGTGGTGGTTTAAATCGCATTGTTTGCCAATTGGTTGATTGTATATTCTGAAATTTTATAAATAATAGTTGTATAATCAAATAAAAATTAAATTTTTAATGCTAAAATTAGTTAATAATAATAATTACTTCAAAATGATCAGTATCTTCCAAATCATTTTGATGCACTTTTTCAGAAAATAAAGATACAGTATCTCTGATGAATAAATGAGCGATATGTTGCGCAAGTAATTTATCAATTCCATTATCTAAAAGTTGTTTATATACTTCATCGTCATAAATTAAGGGAACATCATTGTACTTTTCTCCTTGTACACTAAGATATGAATCAATGGAATCATATCTAGATTTATTAATTCTAAATTTGTTTTCTTTTAAAGGTTTTAGACCACGTTCTTCTTGTGTTCTGCAGTCTACAGAGCAAGATATCACATTCCATCGACAATCAACATCGCTTATATATCCTCGGTAAAATGGACTAGCAGCAGTTACAGCCAACTGTCGAATTTTAAACAAATGTTCTGTAACGTATGTGCGAAAGAATATGCTAACTTCATATCTTCAGAATTTATGAAAATATAATTATTATTTATAATTATATATATTATATTACTGACCATTATTGGACATAAAGGTGTTAATTGATCATATAAAGTTCTTGCTTCTTCTATATTACAAGCTTGGAAAGTGAGTTGTAAACAACAACATCCCATTCCAAAACCCATAGCATCCATATAAATATGATCTTCTTTAGCTGCACAATTTGATTCATCTTCAATTAAAGAACTAAGATCCTCTTTAAATGGATTTGGAACATTTTTATCTTTATAAACTGCAAAAAAATACTATTTGTTAAATTATTTTATTTATAAAAAAATATATATATTGTATATATATATATATATATTATACAATAAATACATACTAGGAATGTTTATAGCTACTTTTTCTCCACGTCGTTTTCTTATATTTCTTGTCAAAGTTTTAAATCGAGGATGACCAGGATATATAGCTTCATCCGGAAAAAATAAACTTTTTGATGATCCTGAATTTGGAGTTGGATGTGTAGGAGGATCTGTGAAATCATGTGCTCCTGTTCTGTAAGAGAATATATAAAATAATAATTCTTTTTATCAAATATAATAAATTATGATAGTATTTAATTAAATATAATTAAAAATATCAAAAAGTTTATATACCTAGGAAAATTAGTTAAAGACATTAAAACCTCATTAGGTCCCAGTAATTTTGAAGCTTCTTGTCTTCTATATTTCATATTAGCTTCAACAATATTAAAATGAACTAATAAACCACCATAGGGTTTCCCTGGTGTTCCTTCTAGCATATAAGCACCATATTCAGGTCTCCATAATGATTTAATATTGCTATGAAATAAATATATATTATTTTTTATTATTTTATAATTATTAAAATTATATAATTATTATATAATTATATATATCAATATGTCATTATATTAAATAAATTAAATAAATGTTATAAAGAATCAATATATATTTATATGTACAATATTTATAAATAATATAAATTTAAACTCTTATTTAAAAAAAATATGAAATACTTACACTGGATCATTATATTCTTTTTCGTTTAAAGTTTTTAATATTTCTGCAGCTCTTAAACTAAGCTTTGCAATTTTTGCTTCATCATCAAATTTGATAAGCATATATTCAACCTATTTAAGAGATTTTCTTTATTATAAATGTTAAAATTTTCTAAATATTAAAATTACAATAATAAATAAGAAAATATATTAATTTTATATTATCTAAATGATATCAATAAATTACATAGTTGCAGCAAAAAATATTGACTCAGATCTAGAAATGAACTAATTGGAAAAAAAGTCAAGGTTACATCTTGTAATAGTTTAATAACTAAAATTGATTGTACCATTTATTTATTGTTTCTTTTCAATATTAATATTTCAATTATAATATATAATATAAAAATCCAAGCAAATAAAAATAATATAAACAAATTACATAAAATTTAAATTTAATTTTTGAAAATTATAATTGAATTTAGAATTTTTAAATTTACTAATAATTAATATTATTATGTTAAATTAAAAATAAAAATTTATCAATAAAATTTTTTTCTTTAAATTAACATGTATTAAAAATTAATATTGCATAATAAATATTTTATATTTAAATTATTCTATATGAAAATGATATAGAAAAAAGTAATATATATTCATTAATATATGAAATATATTACGATTTATGTTTACAAATGTCAAATAAAATATAAAAGTTAAAAAATAAATATTACCTCATCGCCCCATTTGAGTATATCACCTTGTCGATCTCTAAGTCTTTTGTATAAATTAATAAACTGAATAATTCCATGTTTTCGAACATGATCAGCAAGATTTTTCGTTTCTTCCCAGGTTAAAGGACTTCCCTCGGATAATAATCCCATATCTATACAGGTTAATTAATATTAATTTTTTTTCAAAATTTGACACTCAAAACAAAATTTCGCGGAAGATCGATTAAAACCGATTTGTACCGAGATATACCGAGATATAACTTTACTTCACACTCAGAAAACCATGAAAATTCTATAATAAGATAGTATAAGTATAATACTATTGATGCTTTGTAGAACTAACTACAGCATTTTACGAATGTCCCGTCACTTCAATGATATATACTTAACTACAAGATAATTATACTCTCCTACCAGAACATTATAACTAGAAATACTGGAAATATCAGTTTAAAATTATTTCTGATTTGATAAAAATAATTGTATAATTTTTTTGTATAATCTTAGATTATCTTATCTTTAATTGATTAATATCATTGCAAACATTTTGCTGGTCAGTTCGGATGATTCATATATGTAATTAAAGAAATTAACCCTTAAAATATAGAACACAAATTTAATAGCCAGATAATCTAAGAATTTGTGTAAATTTATTTATGATTTATGGTTATTTATATATATTATAAATAATAAAAAATAGGATAATAAATTTATAAATTGTAAATAAATACATTAAATATTTAATTTATAATAATTAAAATAAGTGTTTAGTATTATACACTAAATAAAATGAATTGTAAAAAAATTTTTTTTTTTAAAGTATCATATTATATGATACTATATACTATATTTGAAATTCGTCAAATAAGTAAAATTTCAGAATTATATTACTATAATTACTATATAATTATATAATTATTACTTACATATTATTTTATAAATTCTTTTAAAATTATTTAATTATTCCTATAAATGAAATATATATTATACTTTTTAACATAATAAAATAAAAAATTTCGATATATATTTTAACAGTTTTTAATTTTTTTAGATTAAGAATTAATATCAAGTATTAATTCAATGATATAATATTTATTTCTATTTATAAATAAAAATAAATACATAGAATTATATAAAAATATATATATAAAAATTATAAAAAATCAAATAAAAGGAATGACAAAATGGACCAATATGTATTATAAATCATATTTTATTACAATATTTT